ATAAATTAGATGGCAATAAGCATTATAAGTATAAAAAGTATCACTGGGCTATCAATCGATATACAGATGGTATTTTATTTGCTATAATCATTTGAATAAAAAGCAATTTAAGATCCTTGGAAATCTCTTAGGTGAATGATCATTTAACATTTTTAAATCCGATAAGAGCTTGAACTTCCTCGATTTACTGTCGTAATTCTCCGATTAAAAGAATTTTGATGGCAAATGCGTAAATTATATCGTCCAATGTTATTTATTACCTTGCAAGACTACTGGGACGTTACAATTTCAGTTTGAGGAAACCTCAAGCACTTTTTTCTTCTATTAGTTTTTTTGGGATGAAATAATGATCTAAATAGAAAAAATTACTATTGTTTTTACAATTTTCTCTCGGAATTTATTATGAATGAATTTAATATGTAGGTATTAATCAAAGATGTACGGATCGGTCGCTCAACTCGGTTTTATATGCTAATCGAGCTGCTGCTCAGAAACGTATTGGTAATATTGGCTCTGCTTTCAGAGATTGTTTCTTTGCTCGTAAATTTAATCCTGATAATATGAAGGTTTCCACTTGATTCTAATTTATTTTTATAGTTATCGGTTAGGATAAATGGTAATGCTTAGTAATTCGATTAGCTAAAACTGTATGGGTAAAGTAACTGAGATTCCTTAGATATTTTTTGCTTGCTTTATGACTGTGTAAGCTTAGCAGGACAGTATATAATTTTGCTCGAGGAATAATTTCATCCATTCTTAACTAATATCATGAAATATTCAAGTTATCTCTTTGAATTTGAACTACTTACATCAGATTTTGAAACATCGCCTTGACTTATCTGTTGGTTCAGGCTGAGTTCGTTCTGTTTATGTAGATTGCTTTAACTCTGAATATACACTCAACCCCATTGATGTAAATAAGAAATATAGGTGCATAATTTGCAGTTGATGTCGTGTACCTCTAAAAACATTTTTTTTTTTTTTCGTGAATTTCTAATATAAATCGTGAAATATCGTACATTATTTCTAACTGTTATTGAAGTTTCATATATAGATTTATAAAAATCAAGAAAAAAATTTGATAGTGTATAGGCAGTTATTCGTGGTGCTGAGTGCCTGGTGGAGCTTGGCAGAGGAAAGCAGTGCATGGATTGGCTCAAAGGTAGCAAGGAATATTATAAAGCGGCCAAGTGTATTTCATATAATCATAGTTCGTATTTGACCTTGTTAATTCTTAATCTTGCTAATTCTTCTTTGTTTTTCAGTGCATTATTCTCCTTAAGTAAGCACAAAAAAATGAGTAGTATATGAAGAGTAGAATGACTAGTGAAATATAACCATATATAGAATGTTATGGTTTAAATTTAAAACGGCAAAGCAGCGAGGTATAAAAAATGAAGCAGTAAAATAAATAAGACATAATGTGAGTAAAAATTTATGATGTTTCGATAGATTACAGATTACTCCTTGTTATACATTTATTTTAAATCTATGCATTTAGCTCATAAAGCGGATGATGACTACGTAAATGAATTGTATGAAAAAGCGCAACATCTTGCCTTAATTGAGGATCGAAATGAGCGAAAAAGACGGCATGATGTGAGTTTATCATGTTTACTAGATATATAACTGTGCAAAAAATCTTTTTTATTTCTCTTCCGCAATCTGAATTATAATACTTGCAGTATGCGAAAGATCTGACTGAGAAGCAGCGATTATTATCGGCATTTAAGGTGAGGGATATTAATTTTCGGCCACCTCTGTGCTATGATAATCCTGAGTTTTTCGAATGGTCACAAGTTGAAGTACAGTTACCAGTTCTACGAAAGGTAATTTGTTTCAATTGCAATAAAATCTTGAAATAGTTGATGCTGTTAATACCAGCTGGAATAAGTGAGAAAATTTGATATTCGCATTGTTGTTTCTACATAATCACATTGTGAACTTAAGTTATCTAGAATGTATTCATTTTCATACTTTTTAATGTTAACTAAATTCACTTTTCTTTTATTACAAAATCATGCCTTTAAGTCTATATATGTCCGAATGTTAGTAGGAACACCTTTTTCATCAATTCATTCCATTTATCTTATTTTGTTTGTTTAACACAATTTTAATTTAAATAATGAGATTTTATGTTTTACTATGTTATTTTACATAAAATAAATGTTATTTTCTTGCAGACTGAAAGGGTTTATGTGGATAATTGCGGTATATTACACTGGCCTATACTTGTGCAATATCCAGAAGTAGGAAAGGTTAATATAATAACTGATTGCTCCGAAGAAAATTCAATAACTGATATGTTCGGTTTTTATGAACAACGAACACCACATGATGATACCACGTTTAAGTAAGCTTTAGCTGTGATTCTTAAGATTAATTTCCTTTAATTGTCAAATGTTGAAACTTTTTTAATTTGCATAAAATAATAATATTTTCCTTTTTTTGTCATGAAAATGTTCGATATTTCGTGTCACTGGATTCGGACAAAGAATATAACAGCGCAGAACTGATGCCTTGGTCAAAATTTAGGGAAGCATTCTCTATACCGGGATTTATTATTGTGCAGGGATTACCGACTATTCAGGTAAGGTTGATGACAGCGATTTGTTATAGAATCGATAAAAGTAGTTGATTGAGAATTAATGGGCAAACCTGATATTTACTTATTTGCAAAGTTGTAGTTGTTCAGGCATTTTAAAAAAAACAAAAAACAAAATTGATGGAGTCACTCGAAACATCAACTTTTCTGGTGTTTCGAACAAACTTTTCTTCGAAAGATATTCAAGTAATCAATTTATTATTTGGTACATTTAGCTAGTTATGTTGACAGTTCAAGTTTTAAACTTATTTCTGCTAAATTTGATCTTCGTAGCTTTGGGGGATGAAGAAAAAACAAATTGTGAAAAAAAAAAAAAAACATGCTTTAAAATGTAAACTAACTGTTCATTGAAAAGTGTTAGTTGTGAAATACTATGCAATAAGGAAATAATGCAATTAAGATATATTAAATTCCCGAAAAGATTTAAATGTTCAAATCAGTTTTAAAAAGGAAGTATGAGAAGGAATTGAGAAAAAGTGTAAAAAAATAACGTTAGTTGCAAGTGAAGACCTGAAATTATTTGCTATTTCAACTTTTGAGCCATTTTTTTTTTCATATTTCCACTTCAGATCTATACGAAAAAACATGCCGAAGCAAATTTTGTGAGAGTTGAAGATTGTTTCTACATAACTAAGTGAAAATGCATCATTTTTTAATGGTTTGCTTCTTGTATTTCCCATATCTTTTTTCTGTTCACGTCATTCAGGTTATATGCTCTTTCATATATTTATGTATATATTTATGTTTTCAGCGTTTTTTTTTTCAAACCTAAATTTATAGTTATTGCAAACTATCCAGTCAATGGACAAAAGATGTATTCTCAGTAAAATTGTAAATTATATACGAAAAAAGCAAAGGTGATGGGATCTTGAAGGAATTTTATGATTGTCAATTAGTAAGCTGTTTAAATACTTCACTTTATTTGTTAAATTCATATTTTTTACTTTTATGACTTGATATATGGTTCTTTCTAACGATACCTTATAAAATTACGTACGACTATTTAAAGTTATGGCTATTTATGGCTTTTCATGATTTAGTCGTTTAATCAATCCGAAAAACTGGAAATTTGGAAACATTATGAAAAGATTAAGGCGTTGAAAACGAAACATGTATTCATTTTTTCAAAGGTAGAGGTAAAGTTTTTGTATTGATATCAACATTCCATTTTTATGAAGATAGTACAAGACTTTATTTTTTATGTCATCTGATTAGTATCTTATGCGCATTTATGAACTTTGAATATCAATTCACTGTATTTATCAATTGTTCTCTCCTTTGTTTTAAGATATTCGGGGTCAGTACTCAGGAATTGCTTCAGGAGTTGTAGTAGTCGTAGACATTCTTTATCCAGAAAGTGATTTCACTAAGCAAAACAACGAGATTAGCAAAATTTGAGCTTCCCGATTAAACCGACGATAGTTTAAATTGTTCTTCTTTTAGCAGATGGTGTGAGAATGATAATTAGAAAATAGTTAGTATAGTAAATAGAAAACTAAGGCTTATTTGGAAGGAGAAATTGGGAAGAAGCAGTATTGAATGAATGGAATAGTATTTTATCTTCAAATTGATAAGTAATTCCATTAAAGAATTGTTACTGTTAATAGCAATAATTTTTCTATACTTTTGGTGCATTACTGAAAATGATCGCAAATGTATTTTGATTTATAATTACAGAAGAAGAAAGAATGAATATAAACTTTTGTAAACACAATAAATATGAATGTGTTTCGAATAAAAAGTATTCTCACTTAGAATCTTCAAACATATCCCATAGTCCAATAAAAAATGATCTTATGACCATTATATATTGATAGTAAAGGAAATTTGAAAATACAAAATAGCCTAATCTTGTTGTTTTCTTATGTTTTAAATTTGTTTATAGTAGAATTGTATTGTACAACAGTTATATGCTTCTCAATTTATAATATGTTTCGTATTATTTTTCGTTTCTTTGATTTTTGTTACAAATAAATTTTAAGCAAAAAATTGTCACTCATCAAACTATATTGGGATCGGTGTGTTGTTTGAAATTTTTAGTTGATTCACTTCCAGTAATCGAATTAATTGTAGGTTTACTGCTATCATCTCTAGAAAATGCATGTATTATTAATACAATTATTTGAAATGTTTTAATTAATTATTCTCATTTAATCATTTACTTAATTTAGATTCCTTGATTGCATTGATTATCTAAATTTGAATTTAATTAATTCCATAATTGTAATATGTAGATGCTAAAAGTACACAGTTCAACACAGAAATTTTGAGTGGAAAATTGAGAAATTTCAAAAAAAAAAAACATTTTATATTTGCTAAATGATTTAGCTTCTCGTTATGAAAGTATTTCAGAATTTTGGTACATCTTTTTTTAATTTTAACTTTTCATATAGTCTTACGTGTTACTGCCGCTGACAATTGGACTCATCGATACTGATTTAGCTGATCCTGTCAAACAATATGCAAAATTTGAAGTGAATTTTAAATTAAATCAGAAAATATTATTTTTATTGATCGAGATTTGATTTAACATTATTGAGGATTTTTATCTATTTCTCACAAACTTATGAGAAATTTTAAAACTTTTATTTCATTTATCTCATTAAGGATTAAGGTTTCTGTCAATTTGCTAAAATAATCAAATCAAAATTAAAAACTTAAAAGTTAATACTGTGAATTCATGTTGAACGAATCTTTAAAAATCCATTTGAAATGATAGATTCAATTCAATTTAATCATTATTAATCAGTAGCATATCTTAATTATAAATTGATTCACTTACTTGAACTATGTGAGCTTTTCATTGTATGTAAACTAGCTATCGATGCTGTTTTACTGCTTGTATCAGATTCACTGATACTTGGTCTGAAGTGAAAAATTATGCTTTTTGATAATCTTTTCGATAATTAAAAATTTGAATGCTCTCAGTTAAGTTAAAATTTAATTTCTATTTTAATTCATTTAATTAATTTAATAAAGCTTAAAAATTTAAAATAATGATAATCTGATGACTGATATAGAAAACCTGTAAACTTTAGCTATATGCTTTTCGCCATCTTTAATACTAATATATGATTTTGTGCCATTTGATATTTCTTGCCAACCTTTTAGTTTTACACCAGGTTGTATTTTTTTAAACTGTAATTTATTATTGTAATCTTACTTAAGAATATATATACTTAAATATTTGAATTTAAAATAAATTATAAAACACTTAGGAATAATTAAATATTTTGCATAATGAATGAAATGAAAAATAAGTTTAAAAAAAAAAAATGTTTGAAATAAAAAGTAAGTCAATTTGTAAGTAAATGTCTTATTAATTAACAATAAACTTACATCAAGTAAGGTATACTTAATATTAGTTGCAATTTTAATTTGAATGTTTGATCGACGAATTATTAGATAAATATACAATGGTAAAATGATTAGAGCCATAAAAATACTTCCAATAAGCCAAACAAAATAAAATGTTGGTCGTTGATGTTTTGTTATTGGATCAATGTAAAATACTTTTTAATACTTTATTAAAAAATAAATAATTATACTATTTAATATGAGTAATATTTAATATTAAATAATAATTAACTTAATAGGTTAATGATAAGATTTAGAGTTTTTTGATATTAAAGAAAATTTCCATTTCAAATTCAAATTCAAATGATTTATATTTTAATGCAAATTTATATGCCAATTAAATCAAATTTGTATTAAGCATATAATTACAAATTTAAATGCAAAATTTAAAATTCAAATGCAATTTAGGTTTATCAGATGAATATTAATAAATGAAAAAATTTCTTTTTTACCAAAATTTCTCCAAAAATTTTCGCCTTCTACCATAATCATTGCATATGCTTTTTGATTGCTTTTAAATTGCTTACACTAAATAAATGTTTTTAATGATAGATTAACTTTATAATAATGTTAAAATAATAAATAATTTTTTTCAATTCAATTGTTTTTTTGGCATAAAATTTACATAAATGCAAATTTGGAAGTAATTTATCAAAAAATATATATATGATTTTAATTGTTATCATTTTAATTCTTGCATAAATTAAGAAAAATTTATATTATTAGCAAATTTGAATAAAAGATGAAAAATTTCCAATTAATTATTCATTTTTCTACTTTCTTAAAAAAAAAAAGGAATTAAAATAATAGAATTAAAATGATAACAATTAAAATTATATTTTTTTTTTTAAAAAAAAACACCAAAGCATCGCATAATTTTTATGTATTATTGAATATATCATTTTACTTTACATAGTATAGGTAAATAAGTTTAAATTTTTAATTTATTTTATAAAAATTTATAATCGTTGATTGTTTGTATTTTTAATTATATTTGCAGAATTTTTTTAACCAGCAATTATTATATATTTATAATTAAAATCTTTTTTAGTTAATACTAAATTATTATTCTTCCTCTCTTTCTGTCTTTATCACTTTCTCTCTCTCTCTCTCTCTCTCTTCTCAATTTTTCAGAGTTTTTCTTAACTTTTTTTTTAAAAAATCTAAACTTAAATTGTAATAAAATAAAACACAATGAATATCATTTGCATATTTCTATTAGTGAATGTGATAAATGATAAGTGATAAAAGTCTCAGATAATAAAAATGTTAGAATATAAATGATAAAAAATTGGAAAACCGATGGAATTTAAAAATATTATTTATTCCATAATTATTTATTTTTTATTTTCTATTGATAAATGAATTCAATATAATTTTAAAATTTTGTTTTTTTATGCGACAAATATAGTACTTTAATAAAATTAATTTCAAAAAAAAAAAAGAAAAAACTTTTCCGATAAAATGTTGGCAAACTATTTCAATGCAAAAAAAGCAGTTACCTTTCCTAAAGTTAAAATTTAATTAATTCCTCATTACTAAAGAATGTGACAAATATTATTTTTGACAAATTCTCAATGCATTTATTGAGATTTCAAAGCAATTTATGCTATTATATGGAAGCTAAATATCATATAGGGGTTAAATGTCATCACATAAAGGTTAAATGTTATCATATAAGGGTTAGATGTCATCATATAAGGGTTAAATGTCATCATATAAGGGTTAAATGTCATCATACAAAGGTTAAATGTCATCATATAAGGTTAAATGTCATCACATAAAGGTTAAATGCTATCATACAAAGGTTAAATGTCATCACATAAAGGTTAAATGTTATCATACAAAGGTTAAATGTCATCACATAAAGGTTAAATGTTATCACACAAAGGTTAAATGTCATCATATAAGGGTTAAATGTCATCATATAAGGGTTAAATGTCATCATATAGAAGATAACATTTAACCTTTCTACAACAAATACACATACTTAATAAAATGAATGAAATAATGTATTATCTTTATATTTTTGAGTAAATATTTTGATTTTGTTTTTAATTTATATTTTAACTATAAAACAATTTATGATAGTAAATTTACATTTATAAAATAATCATTCAAATTTTATTCGTTATCATTGTCAAATTTTACATCAATCATTATTGGTTGTATTAAAATAAAGTTTGTTCTGTCTTGAGATAAATCATTTAATTGTTTCATTTTAATTATAATAATAGTTTGTAAAATAGTTTAGAAAAAAACGAAAAAAAAAATGTGACAGGGAGAGTGAGAGAGAGAGAGAGAGAGAGGGAGAGAGAACGATTATTAATTAATATAATTATCAAAAAAAAAGAAAACATTGAATATTAATTATTATTTTTCTAATAATTTTCTCTCTAATTTCATTCATCATTAATGTTTAGTTTTTTCATTTTTCTTTATTCTATACATTTTAAATATTAAATTTAAACATATATTTTAAATTAAAAAAGTTTTTAGTATTAATTAAATTTAAATTATTTATCAATTATTTGCATCTTTTAGGAAATGTCACCACTTTCAAATGTATTATTGAGTAATGATCATTTAAGTGATGATGATATTTTGGCACTTAGTTCAGCTCATCATTCATTACGAGTAGCAATTATATTTCTTATCGTAGTTGTTATCATTTTTGTTATCATGCAACTTATCAAATTAGCCTGTCAAATTATGGCAATTCGTCGTAAAGCTGATAAGGTAAATTAATTTGCAAAAAAAAAAAAAATTTCTTATGAATTAATAAAAAATGGATAAGAGATTAATTTCGTTTTTTTTTTCTATTTTGAAATTTAAAAGAATAATAAATTAATTTTGAATGATTACTGAAAATATATTTTATATATATTTTTGATTTAATATAGATCAATCAATAAATATATATTTTTGATTTAATATAGATCAATTAATAAATATATATTTTTGATTTAATATAGATCAATCAATAAATCAATTAGAGAAGATTGGATCAATTTTATAGCTTATCACATTCATATTCATTTTTCTTGATTAAAAATTTTTTAATCAATTCATTCTACATTTAGCCTTTTGATAGCAAAATTCCCGAAATAAAAGTACATACGAAGCCACAAAGGTTTTTCATTTATTTTTTATTCATTAAAAAGTTTTTTTTTTTTCATTTTTTATCAATCTTTGATTTAATCAATCTTTACACTATCGAAATTATTTAAATTTACTCATAGTTCATATTAAAAACTTTATTTTAAAACTCATTCATAGCTCATTCTGAAAACTTTTTTTTTTTAAATTTCAATCTTTTTTTTCATTTTGTTTTTTTTTCTCTTTTTTGTTCACTTTTGACCAAAGCTATGCGATGAAATTACGTTTTTTCAAATTGATAGTTGAAAATTTAAATGAATTTATACTTGTAGAAGAAAAAAATTGAAACATTCATTACCAAGTAAAGAAATGAAAATTCAATTATCATTAACAAATGAACAAGACGAAAGAGATATTGCATCTGATGATCGTGAAATATATGCTACAAAAAAAGCAATTAAAAAAACGGAATTTTCAGTAGTATTATTTTTTTATTCATTTACTATTAAATTAATAAAATCATTTAAATTTTATCATTTTTAAGAATTTAATTAATTAAATATTAGATGGGAAGAATTTTTCACATTCAAATCTCAAAATTTCACAGGGAAAAAATGAACTTATTAGAATAAATTTAATAATAAATATTTTTTTCAAATTTTTATATTAATATTTCTTAATTAATATAAACATTCTTTGTTTCTGTTTTTTTTTTTTTTTAATTTAGCCTCAAAATAAAATAACAAATGTGACAGAAGCAAATGTTATCATGATGCATGATCAAATGCAACATTCATCAGATGAACTTGAAACAACAGATATTAAAGATTCATTAACACTTACCGGTAATAAAATTTTTATTTTCTATTATAAATTTTTTTTTAAAAAAAAAAACAAAACAAAAAACGAATGAAAAAATTTGTTTTAATTATTTTATTTTACAACATATACGATTTGTAAGCAAAAAAAAAAAAAAAATTGATTTAATGTACTACAAAATTGCTATCAAAATTTATAATTCAAATTTTTATAATATATATATGTAATCTTTTTTTATAATCAAAATTTATAATTTGATCAGATCAAATTCAAACTAATTTAAAATAATTAATTTCTACTTTTTTTTTAGACTCAAAAAGTCAAACATTATCAACACCAACTATTATGCAAAAGTCATCATCAACATTTCCAATATTAAAAGCTCAAGATTCATTAATGATTGTTAATAAACAAACATGCTTACAACCTGCTCATAGTGCTGAGCAATTAAATTCGGAAACCGGAATGAAAGATAAGCAATCAACAATTTTGGAAGGAGCTAAAGCAGACGATTCATTAATGATTGTTAATGAACAGAAACCATTGCAACCAGCTGATAGTGCTGAACAATCAAAAGCAGAAAAAGCAAATATTAATCAACAAAAGGAAATTGAGTTATAAATAGCAGATCATAATTTTATATAATCATCATTATCATTATCACTATTATCACTTATCATACACCTGTTATAATCAATCAATGCTTTTAATCTGCTAAGCTCTTGTCATGATACTTTGTTTGCTGAAAGTTATAAAATATTACTTATCAGTTATTGTTTTGTTTACATAGTAATTATCACATTCTTTCATTCAATTTAATTAGTCGCAAAATTTGCAAAAATATTTCGTTCATTTTCAAATTTTAATTTTCGATAAAAGTAAAATGATAATTTAATTCAGTTAATCAGCAAAAAAATGCATCATAATATGATCTTGCTAATTTAATGCTATTAAAATATGTATGTTTAATTCATTTCATATATGTGAATGAATCATAGTATTTCGAATTTTTTGTTTCAAATTTCAAAATTTGAAGGCTTATAATTTGGAAAATCACGATTCTCCTTTTTTTTATGTTGAAAAAAAATTAAAATTTATTTCCTCTTCAATATCATTTGCTCTGCATTGATTAAATCATTAATGCACATTTTAAAAAATCACTTTCGAATTCAGTAAAAGAAATGAATTGTTTAATTGGTAATTTTTAATTTAGCAATGATTTATAAATCTGAACTATTATTCATTGATTTGTTCAAGTTAGATAATTGCCATATAATTGGACAATGAATTTGTGTTTCAGTAAACATTTATTTTTAGCAAATTGAATAACTTCAATTTTAATTTCATGCTAAAACCATTCCTACTGATAACACCAATTAATTTTAATCGTTTTCTTTTCTTTTTTTCTTTAGAGTAAATAAGATGAATTACTTGTTCGTAATTAAAACGAAAATGCAAATCAGCACTATGCCATTTTATAGTTTTCAAAAAATGATGAGAAATCAAGTGCTTCATCAATCGATAATCACAATGTTAATAATTTATGAGCTATTAAAATTAAAGTTAATCTTGAGAAGACCATTTCTACTCTATCAAAGACCCTGCCTAGCAACAAGTTTAAAAATAAAATATTCCATCAAAGAATAAACTCGGTAAAATCTAAATTTTGATATTAACTAAATTTTCCCAATGAAATGAGATCAAATGGAAAGTTATATGAAGCAGAATTAGACTTTTTTGAATTCAGAGACGTCTGGAAAGATAAAAATGTTTTGCACTCATCTTTTTTTCTTTTTTGCAATATTATGCAGAGTATACTAAGTTGAACGAATAAAAACAAAGAAATCATACAATATTTTTCAACGAAAAGACTACAAATTTCGCTTTCAATAGACAGCGTATTAAAATCAATGTATAAAATTCACTACCTCAATATTTCAGTAATAAAAGATTTCACAAAATGAAATTCAACTGTTATCATTGAGAATAAAATGCTACCCGCTGAAAAACAAATGTCATAAATGGAAAAGATCAAGAAAGTATGCAAGATATATGAATAAACAGTGCATGTGGCATTATCGTCTACAATAAACAGTCAACAACAAAGTCAGTAACATTTCTAAAATTTCGAAATCAAAAAAAAAAAACTGGAATTTGACCTATCACTTTGAATTTTAATTATAAAATAGCCAGTAGCATCAAGAATGTGTGACTCTTGATCGCCTTAAGATTGAAAGCTGATGATTTTAAAAAAAAAAAAATTAAAAGTTTCGAACATATCAAATCTAAAAACTAAAAAGTGAAAACAGCTTTCAATAGTATATTTGCTTCGCACTTCAGATCTTCATCCTAAAGAGCTAACAAGGATTACTTTTCATTTCCCAATAAATTATCAATCCTTAACATCTAAAATTTAACTCATATTTTCAATATTCTCTCTTTTCACGACAAAAAATTATAGAAGATATGTGCTTTTAAAACGTAGTAAAAACCATGCAATACTCTTTCTTCCTTCTCATATCATTTTCGTCTCTATTCAAGGAATGATATACAACACATATTTTGCCTCGGACAAATTTCGATGGGTTGCTTGGAAATTACACTAAATGAAAACAGTACTAAATTAAACCAGAACAACTGATACATCAAATACAAGCAAAATGGAATGAATTGCGAAGTTGTAACAACAAAGCTAAAATTCTGCGCTATATATTTTATTAAATATAAAGCGGTATGAAAGTGATTTAATCTCCTTGTATAAGACATTCCAGAAAAAGAAGAGTGAGTCGCTTTTTCCTTCAGGAAATTAAAAAAAAAAAAAAGTGAAGACTCAGAACCGAATTGATAATACAAGTGCAAAAAGCAAGAATTCAAATTGAATTAACTAGCAGTAAGATCTGGATCATCTCCAACATAAGATCCTGCTGTAGATCCTGAATTCGGCCGCAATAAATCAGTACTATCACCACCAAAACTTCGAGCGCCACGTCCAATACTGTCTGTCTCACCTATAATAATAAAGCTATCAAGTTAGACCAAAAATGAAATGTTAAAAAGATTAGTTCGAAAAAGAAAAACTGCTGTAGAATTTAGTGTACAACACCATATCTATGCATAATATTTTAGTTGTTTTATTTCATACTAAGATTTTTTTATAATTCTACAGATAAGTGTATATTTCAACATCAGAACAAAATAGTTATGAAAAACTTTCGCCCTTTGTCACACATTTCAATAAAATAAACTGTATGCTTACTACCAAAACGTGAAGTACTCGGTCGATTCAGTCCAGAACGTCGTGCAAGTGCTGCTAAACTTTTTAATTGAGCATTTTCTCGAGTTAGTGTTTCATTGGCTTCATTCAGATCATCAATACTTCTTTGCAACTGTCGACATTTCGATCTTTCACGGCAGGCTTCCTCTTCTAAATCTTCGATTTGTCGACGCATCTGACGATGCCGTGCTATTGCACGATCTGCCTAAAATTATTATTTGTCTATGCTGATTGACGAAAAAAAATACCAAACCTACAACAAACTAAATTTATTGAGATTCCTTAGTAAATATACTAAGCTTACGGTTTCCTTCAATTGTTCTATATTTCGCTTCTCTTCTTCATTCATCATCAGTGTATCACTCAACTTTTTCTCCATACGTCGAATCTGCAAAGCTTACCATTTAAAAAAAAAAAAAAATTAGTGCAACGTTCAACAGATAAAAACTTCACGCAACACTCAGCCATTTGTTCATAAGCAAGAAAGAAATAACAATTTTCACAATTATTGTGGCATGATCAATGTTTACACAAAATTTCAGTGTGAAAAATAAGGATACTTGAAAATGCGTTCGACAAAAAAAAAAACACTCAAGAACACTTTTTGATAAGTTTAAATAAGTTAGAAATAACCTGTCGATTGGCTGTATTTCGTTCCTGTTCCATTTGAGCATACTGTTCAGTTGCTGCTTGAAGTTTCGCTTCTAGTGCAGCAATTTGTCCTCGGTTACGTGTTCGCATGTCATTATCCATTTCTTCTAACTGAAATTTGAATTTGATAAAGCAAAGCGAATTATTGACAGCTATATTTCGCAAGCGTAATGAATAAAAACTTACTGCCATTTTTAATTCTTTACACTGTTTTTCAAAGTTTTGTTTATCTGCTTCTAATTTTTCACACAATGAACGCTCAGCTGCCAATTCTGTTGTCAGTGTTTCCAGCTGCAAACTTTTTGCTCAATATTGCTTAATAAATCAAAGCAGAAGTTGAGTTAATGAGGAAACATATACGCTCACAAAAGCAAAGAACCAGTTCTGCAACATCTAAAAAAATAAACCCAGAACCCATTAAAGTAGAAAAAAAGAATGACATTCAACTCCTTATTTATGGTCACACTTAACCAACTTCTTTAGGTAAAATATTTACTTGAATTTGAGCTTTTTTAAGTTTGTCATTGCCCAATTCGGTGTTATTTTGTTCTTCTTCAAGCAATTCTTCCAGCTCATAAATTTTCGTTTCCAATCTCTTCTTATCTTCAGCACTCATCAAGCCACTTTTAACACTAAGCTCTTCGACAGCATCATCTCTTTCTCTTTCTGCACGCCGCCTATCTGCAGTTAATTGCATGTTTGTTTCCGCTGCTCTTGCCAATTCATCTTCTAACGATTTCAATCTTGAAAAAAAAAGCCCACATTTTTTCTATGATCGCAATCCATAAAAGTAGAAGAAAAGAAAGTTTCTAAAAACATTGATAAAAACATCGCAGCTAAATACAAATATAATCCGGATTCAGTTCAATTTTTATTCCCTCTCGACCCACAAAATGAATATTTTTTCTTACCTTTTCTCCATATCCTGCGTTCGCAGTAATGCCACATCTTTGGCTTCTTTCGACTCATCTACTTCCAATTGCAAATCTTTTAAATGTAAACTGCATTTCCGAAGCTGACGTGAAAAATCCTCCTTTTGAGTAGTAATAGCTTCCAGTTGTTCCAATGAATGGTGCAGATCGGTTTCTAATTTACGCTTTTGTTGCACCAGAATTAGCTTAGCGCGGCGTTCCGAATCCAATTCATTTTCCAGATCACCAAGCTGGAAACAAGTTCTTAATAGCTCAAATTCAGTAGCAAAAGCTAACTGATTTCCTGAACTTAAGTAGAAATACTTTAGAAAAGCCGTTACAAATCATTAACGTTCCTAATTTTCGCATTTCCCTATTTTAAAACCAATCTTAAAAACCTTTCGCAACATCACTTTACGACGCTCATCATCGTCTCGCTCTTTACCATTGCGAATTTTTTCAAGTTCGGCATTCGTCGCCTGTAGCGTCACATCTAACCGCAGTTTTGCATCTTCAGTAAGCTGAAGATTATCTTCTAATTCGGTAATCGTCTCTTTTGCGTTTGCTAATTCAATCTCTAATTGTCTCTTCATTCGATCAAGTTCTAAAACACTGCGACCAGTATCGTCCTTCATGGTAACCTGAAATATATGAATTATATCGAGCAATTGAATGCAGTTCCAGAAAAACAGATGAACAACATATATCGAATAAAACCATTAGGTAACTCAGATTTTCGCAAATTCATATTAATTTCAATGAACATTAATGAACAAAATCAAAGT